AAAAAAAAAAAGGCCGGGCGCAGTGGCTCACGCCTGTAATCCCAGCACTGTGGGAGGCCGAGACGGGCGGATCACCTGAGGTCAGGAGTTCAAGACCAGCCTCACCAACTTGGATAAACTCTACTAAAAATGCAAAAATTAGCTGGGCACAGTGGCGCGCGCCTGTAATCCCAGCTACTTGGGAGGCTGAGGCAGGAGAATCGCTTGAATCCAGGAGGCGGAGGCTGCAGTGAGTCGAGACCCCGCCATTGCACTCCAGCCTCAGCAACAAGGGCAAAACTGTCTCAAAATAAATAAAAAAAGGATCAGCGGCAGAGGGTTCCCAGGGCCGCGCCCTGGCTCTGCGGCGGGTGGGCAGGAGGAGGATGTTTACAGAAGGAGCTGGGAGCATCACCAGGGCCGGCGTGGGGCCCAGATAAGGAAGGGTGGGGAGGTTGTTGGGGATCAGCAGGTCAGGTGGTCCAGCGGCTGCTCCTGAGGTGAGGGGGTGCGGTCAGGACCCCTCCCTCCCCTCACTCCCAGCCCCCGGAGAATTCTGAGAAATTTAGTTGAAGGTTTTTACTTTGTGACACAGCAAAAAAAAAAAAAAAAGTCTTTCCCTCTGGAGTGAAGGAGAGGGAATTGTGGAGTCTAGGGTGATGGGTAGGTTCACCTGACAGATTCTTAGCTCCCAGGGCCCCATTACAGTGGGAAGCTCTGGGAAGAAGGCAAGGAAGAGGGAGCTTTGAGCCTGGGTTTTGAAGGATGCATAGGAGCTGACTGGCTCTGCCCTGTAGGAATGCCCAGCTTGGAGAGGTAGGGAGAACTTGACACAGCCCCTCGTGGCCCCATGTGCCAGGGACCCCCATCTCACCCACACTCGTGGGCAGCCTACCATGCCTGCTGTTTGTCTGAGGCTGGGCTCACTCTGTCACCCAGGCTGATGTGCAGTCACAGCTCACTGCGGCCTCCACCTCCTGGGCTCAAGCAAGCCTTCCTCTTTGGCCTCCCAAAGTGCCAGAATTACAGGCACGGGCCATCTCGCCCAGCCTCACTGTGCTACCTTTCTTTCCTTTCCTTTCTTTTTCTTTTTTTTTTTTTTTTTTTT